TAATAATAATAATAGTACACATGCTTTGAACGTTTTACAACACAATAAACAGCAGTAACTTAAAACTTGTTTTCTGACCAAAAGAAAATCTCTCTAAATATTCATCTTATCAATTTAACAAAAGCAGAAATGACTTCAGCTGACATTTGGCAAAGAATTCCAGATCTTGGGGGCTTGATATTCAAGTGCCCTTTCATTCTTTAGTTTGCATTTCTTCACCATGGCCAGGAGGTTTTCATAAGGATCAGAGGTTTACGTGACTTGTGTAGGGTATTGGTTTTGTTCTGGGTTAATTTGTTATTATTTTATTATTTGAAATGTGGTCTTTGTAGTAGATGTGGTATAGCCTACAAGTTTGCAAAGTAAAGGAATCTCATCTCAACAGAATAAATTAATTGTCCTCTTCCGCGTGTCTCTGCTGTCAGAGTTAAACAGTCGCATACGACAGTACTGAGAAGGCCAAGAAGTGCATGTCTGGTGTGAGTTGAGTGCTCTGGTGCTGTTGCCTCAAAATGGTCCTCAGAACTTTGTAGTTAATGCTTTTGCTGCCTGTGCTATCCTGCAGTGTTTACAGGTTTGGCCCTTTATCTTTTAATAACTGCTGTTCCCAAGTACTTAGGACTGAATGTTTCCAACCACTTGCCAGATACACATGCGTTACTTCTAACACCATTGCTGATGTCATCACAATAATTTGATACCACGAGTAACAAAATACCTGGGCCTGTTTGTACATGAAAGTGCGTTTGAAAAAACCCAACAACCAAACAAACCCCAGAGCTATCTGTACGATCGGTAGTACATGTATTTACATATTGCTGCTGAAAATTGTTGTTTTTGAACAGCAATAAGAGAAATTCGATCAGGTCTAAACATTGCATATGAAGGCCTACCTACAGACAGTTTTCAGTGTTAATGTTTTCCCCTGGTTTAAGAGATGTGTTTTGTAAGGTCTGGTAATCTTTTCACTTTCTTCCCACCAGACACTCACTTTTTTTTACCGGTTGGGACCACCCCCTCCCTCCCACACAAAAATAAACAAACAAACAAAAAGACAAACAAAACAAGGGCAATTAGCACCATTGAAACTATGATTCCGGTCGTCAAGCTATTAAGCATCACAAAATCTCTCTCTCTCTCTCTCTCTCTCTCTCTCTCTCTCTCTCTCTCTCTCTCT